AAGCACTCAGCTTGCTCGGTCAAGGTCTTGAGGCCCTCGTTCAGCCGTTTATCAACCCCTCTTTTTCTCTTTCCGAGCAGATCACCTCTCTTGTCAAATGTGCGCACATTTTCTGTGCACTCTTCCGCCAGCACGCTACATCATTCATGTCAAATCAGCTCTACGGCGACATCCAGTGCACCGTGAAGAATGCTATCTTCCACGTTGCAAAGACGCAGGAACTTGATTCCACCCTCCCAGTCTTTATGTGCTTACTCGGTGATGACGTCCTCGAAACATTGTTCGGTCGTGTTCGTATGATCGGTGGTCATTCTCCTAATATCGATATTGGTGAAATGGAGGCGCGATGTCGTTCAGCCTTGGTTCTTGATGATATCTATGCAAGGAACTGGATGTGGGAGCGCATAAAGGAGAGGTTAAAGCTGGGGAGGAACCGTGATTGGGATCATCTGAAGCCTCGAGACTGGAAAGGAGACGTAGCGGCAGGTAATTGTGAGTTGCAGGCGTGCTGGGAAAAGGGTGTTCGGGACGCCGTTGGTGTCCTGTGTCGCTTTCGAGCCGATATCAACTTCCGGGAGATCTTCTCTCGCCCTGGCGTTGACCTCATGCGTCCCAATGGCGGAAAGTATCCAGGCATTTCCACCGACTTTGACCGTTCATTGGACAATGTCTACGAAACCCCAGAATTTGTAGCCTCTGATTCCTCTCCAAACATTGACGACATCTCGCACTCATCTCCTGAGCAGTCCATCACATCCGAACATGGAGAACTGCCATCCACGGATGCCAACGAAGTCGAAGTCGAGACCGACATCTGCGATACGGCACCTACTCACGATGTCTGGATCTATCTAGACGACCGCCATCGCCAGCACAAGAAGACTGTTCTACGCATTGTCTTCGATCCTACGCACGACATCAACTACCAGAACACTCATGATCGTCTCCTTCGTGTCCGGCACTATTCCATTGGCGGTGACAACTGGGATCGTCGTGGTGGGCTTTCTCATGGCGAGAACCTTGAAGCTCATGAGATCTTCTCCATTGGCCATCTCTTCGCTACTCTTGTCCGTGTCAACGGCACTGATGTGGGTGTTGGTATTGCTCAGACTACGCTCATTAAGGTGGCTGCCTCATCGATATCCATCCACTCGGCACCTCGTTCAGAGATTAACCTTCCTTCATCACCATACGAGGTCTCCGGAGAGCTTCTTGCAGTCAAGCCATTTATGTCCAGTACGGACAATCGACTACGCTGGGCTTGGGATGCGAGCTATATTGCTCTCGAGCCATATAAAGTGCGTCAGCCATCCGCGGTGGCGGCTCCATCTGTGCGAGAGGTAACTCGGAAGAAAGACTACGTGCTCACAGTTCCGGGAGCCCTCGTTGTCCCAGTCGGCGATGACAGCCAGCGTCTAGATGTCTGTCACTTGCCAGAGTCATTTGTCATGCAACGGGACATTGACTCAACGTGGGTATTCGATGACTGCGTTCTTACGCGGCTTCGAACACTGCTTTGGGAGAAGGTCAAGGAGCCGGGTGCGCCTCTTCAAACACGTGTCCCAACGTACGGCGCTGTACCCGTTGGAGTGTTTCCTTATAGTTCTCTTACCCAGGATGGTCTGTACGCATCGTTGTCCATACTGCTCCTCAAACTGATTGATTACCAGACATTTCGCTCAAGACTACACATCTCGCTGGGAAGCTGATGATTGCTGCTGCGCTGGCAGACCAACGTTTACCGTGTGCTCTGTGTAACAAACCGGTTGCAGGTGCTGACCGACAGAACCATATGGGACGCCATATAGCTTGCTCCATCCTTCATGCAGAAGACAAGCTTGTCGCAGACGCGGGAAAGGTAAGAGATATTGCTCGTCACTTCACTTGTTCTGACCGTTGCATCCAAGGTCGTGGCAGAATACGCGTGCGGTTTTTGTGGTGGCCCCTCGGACGAAACGACATGCACAATTGGAATCGGAATAGGTAATAAGGCGGCATCGAATTGCGCAGCCGCATACACGTTCTCCATTTCCCATGCCGCAAAAGTCAGTGCATCGAAACCTTGTACAAATGTACCGATGCGCTGTTCTCTCTGCCCACAGACCACGATCCACTGGTCCTACAACATGCCAAAGCACATGGAGGCTCGCCATCCAGGATGGGAGCGACAGGTGACATCGGAATACCGGGCTCGGATTGGAGTCTCACCTATTGAGCAAGAGGCTTTCAGCCTTATTGCCGTGACCACCAGTACAGACGTAGGTCATCACAACAACAAACGACCTGCATCTTCACCTCCTGGGACACCTCGTTCAAAGGCGAGAGAGGAGTCGCAGAAGTGCAAAAGCAGGAGGGTCTCGGGAGGCGGTGCCGCGGTGAATCCTTGGAAGGATGATGTCTTCACAATTTGATGTAGGCTTAGAAACTATTTATTTCCAAACTCTTGAGGCTATTCTGCATCGATTGGTAGTATCCTGTATTGCTACGACGCACAGTACAGTTATCGGGCGAGGCTTTCGCAATAAGCTCGACGAGTTGCGAAAACCATCTCCGATTGATGGCCAGCCCACCTGCCGAGTGCTTTGTCATCGCGAAAACCGGGGATATCATCGAGCCACGCGAGACGCACATGGCCTCCCTTGTATGCCCGATTCACGGATCGTCCACCTCTTGCTGGTGAGTGAGAAAGATCTGACCTTGCAAAATTGATCCCCAAAGTCGATTCCTAACATAATAACAGCAGACATTCTTGATTTCAAACTATTTCTTGGGATTTGTGGGGACGGTTGTGAAGACTGAAGAGTGTTCGTCGAAGGGTTGAGGGTGCGGACTCTGGATGGCAGCTCATTCACGTGACCAACCGAAGAAAGCCGACGTCGCAAACTTGTTTTGTTGCACAAGTTGGATGCTCCTTGCCGCCGCCCGTCGAATCTTGTTGTCACAGACGCGTAATGCGCGCATTTCCAGGCGCTGTATACGATGTTATTCAAACTTGGGAATCGATTCATCTGTGCGCGACGTCACATCAAGTCTCGCACAAAATCACCCAGCGTTTACGGTGTCTTCTAGCAAGATATCAATCCTAAGCGAACCTCCTGAGTTCTACGCTCTACTGTTGGTAAGTTTAATGAATTCTGATAGTATCAATCTGATATCTGAACAAGGATATGATTCGCCGTGCAGAGCATCGTATATTTATATCGTCACTTTACATCGGTTCTGCTGAAACTGAACTGGTATGTATCTTTGGATATCCAATTATAACCGAACTCACAGGCGCCTCAGATTGATCATTTGCGCCAAGCTCTTTTGGAGAAACCATCCTTACAACTATTTTTCCAACTGGACTTGAATCGCTCTACTCGGCCTGGCGCCTCCTCGACAGCCAAGATACTCTTGCCGCTGATGGAGAAATTCCCTGAACGCGTGCACATATCGTTGTTCAGGAGTCCTAGCTTACGTGGACTTCTCGCGAAAGTAGTGCCACCGCGTTTCAATGAAGGATGGGGGACTTGGCACGCTAAAATATACGGTGTCGATGACGAAGTTATGATCAGCGGGTGAGTTCTCATTGTCGTATATCTTTGCCACCCGTCGCTTACTCTGAACCTGTTGAAGGGCCAATCTCAACCAGTCCTACTTCACGAACCGTCAAGATCGTTATATTCACTTCAAGGCGCAACCACACATTGCGCAGTACTGTTTCGACTTCCTCCGGACCGTATCAACCTTTTCATACCAGCTTTCCCTCCTATCCTCCGACCTGGGGCCTCATTCCTACGAACGTGAAGGATATACACTTTATTGGCCGGATCCACACACACACCCGCATCGTATACAACAAAAGGCAGAGGCAGCACTCACCACCTTTCAAACCTCCCAACGTTCCGTGTACAAACTGCAGGTCCCATCAGACAAGGGGCCGGCATCGACAAATAATAGGATCGCTCCCGACGACGTGCTCCTTTTCCCTGTCATCCAAGCAGGGCAGTTCAACATCCGTGAAGAGGAGTCCGTTCTTGGTCTTCTTTTTCGCCATCTCTCCGCGCAGCCAGCGCGTATCCAGGACTCCAAATTAACCGGGGCCTCCCGGCCTATAGTCGACCTTACCAGCGGCTATTTCGGGCTTTATAAACCCTATCAAGACCTCATCCTTACGAATGACGTCGATACTCGCATCGTCGCCGCAAGCCCCAAAGTATGCCCTCTCTCTGGATTCGGAACCTCCGTCCTCCTTCAGTTCTAACGTTTTGATCAGGCCAACGGATTCTTCGGATCGAAAGGCGTTTCAGGCCGAATACCAGAAGGATATACTCTACTGGAGCAGCGTTTTATGAGGGCTGTGGCGAAAGTCGGTCGGCTGTGGAATCCTTCTGCCGAGGGCGGCCAGGGCCGAGGTGTACAATTATGTGAATGGGAAAGAAAGGGCTGGACATATCATGCGAAAGGTTCGTACTCCATTTCTCCCCTTCCTCGCCTCCTGGTACTTATCCCTCATGACAGGAATATGGGTTTCGCCGAGCCATTCTTCCCCGCCAGTTCTAACGCTGTTTGGTTCGACGAACCTCAATTCGCGCTCCGCTCACATCGACACCGAACTATCCTTCATCATGGTCGTCCCTTCTACGCAGGACCCTGCAGAACCGGAAAACACGGGTGTCGAGTCCTTGGAAGTGCCCGACGACAGTCTTTCTCGCACGTCATCCACCATGGCGATTAGACGCCAACTGCAAGATGAAGTCACCCGATTGCGGTCTTATGCCACTGAGTGGAAAGGTGCGCGGAGGCGGATCCGATTCTGGACGAGAGTACTCGTAAAACTCGTGAAGGGAATGTTGTAGTGGCATAATTTCTAGCTGTGCTATCATCCCTCTAGTTAGATATCCTCATTTACATTTCAATCAATCGTAATCCTTCGTGAAGACGCGCAGTCGCGAACGTTTTGGGTGCAAATGTAGACAGGACGTACTGTTGGTACAGTCTACCTTCGAGCCTCCAAGTCCCTCTTAGCTCAGTGGTAGAGCGCGTCACTAGTATCGCAAAAGAACTTCCAGGTACATGACGAGGTCAGTCGTTCAAGTCGGCTAGAGGGAATCTTTTTGCTCCATGAATGTTGACTCATATCGTGGGCAGTTGCCCGCAACTCATGTATCATGGTCCATGCCACTCCATGGACATGATCTCTAACCTTCTTTGCCCTAATATGTAACATAATGTTTTCCGTCTGTGTCAGGGCGAAACCAATCGATCCTCACACATGACTCTGCATGTACACAGAGACTCTAATAAATTACAACATCGTCAGCGATATGATATATCAATTCAAGGTATGAGAAATGAATTCGTCGGCCACACGAGGAGCTACGCAGACACCTCCTCTGGCCGCGCTTGGTCGAACACCTCAAGGGTCGCCTGCTGCTGCCACATGCTGTGATATAAACCACCCTTCCGTAGCAGCTCCTCATGCGTGCCTTGCTCCACGACTTCGCCGGCCTTCATTACGATGATGAGGTCTACCAGGGATATTGAATTAGCGCGGAAAGAGGCACGAGAACAGGCATACGTACCGGCTTCGACGACGGTCCTCAGACGGTGGGCAATAAAGATACTGGTCCGTGCTTTATCCAGCAAAGTACTGTTGATATTCTTCATCAACTCCGACTCCGTGTGGGCATCCAGGGCAGACGTCTGATATTCGTAATAAGAAATCCAAAGATGCATCAGGATAATTCCGAGAACTCACAGCTTCGTCAAAGAACAAGATCGGGGGATCCTTAAGCAGCACACGCGCCACCGCCAGGCGCTGCTTCTCCCCTCCGCTGATCATCAGCCCCCGCTCCCCAACCTGCGTATGGTATCCCTGTGGTAGAGACATAATCGTATGATGCACATTCGCCTTCATCGCAGCCTCCTTCACCTCCTCATCCGTCGCGTTTAACCTCCCATACCGAATATTATGCATGATGTCAGAATGGAATAGCGGCGTGTCTTGTGGCACGACGCCAATGCTCCGACGCAGACTGTCCAACGTGACGTCGTATATGTTCTGGTCATCGATGAATATGCGGCCGGAGGCGGGGTCGTAGAACCTGTAGAGGAGGCGGAAAACAGTGGATTTGCCACACCCGGAGGGGCCGACGATAGCGACCTTCTTTCCGGGTGGGACTGTGAAGGAGAGGTTGCGGAAGATGGGGCGGTCGGGGTGGTAGCCGAAGGTGACGTTCTCGAAGCGAATCGAACCACCTTTCAATTGGAGTGGACGTGCATCAGGCTTATCCTAGTGAGCTCTACTTCAGGAAATCGATGAATGTCAATGGGAATGGGAGATAACAGACCTTCGGGGGAGGGTTCTCTTCGACAAGCTTGAATAGCACCTCCATGTCTAGCAGGTTCTGCCGCATCTCACGATATATCGTGCCCAGGAAATTAAGAGGCAACGATAACTGGAAGATCAGCTGGTTTACCATAACTAGGTCACCGACCGACATCGTCCCTATAGAGGAGCAGGTGAAAAGGGAGTTTGAGCAGAGTTGGGTGTCCACGAACCATTCAGAACACCTTGAGCGGACAGTAACATGGCTGTCGTCAAAGCACTTGAGAAAATGATATTTTGGCCAGAGTTTAGATATGCCAATGACGTTGTGATCTTCACCGAAGCCTTCTCGTATTGGGCAAGATATTTGTCATACTGCTTAACTTCATATTTCTCGTTGTTGAAGTGCTACTAGGGCTGGGTCAGATGCTTGTTTGTCTCGAACAGCGAGATTCACTGCACCTTGACAGCTTCAAAGTTTATCAAGGAATCCACGGCCACAGTAGCAGCCTTATTGTCGGCTTTGTTGGCTTCCCGTCGGAAACGGGTTCTGAAGAATGAATCAGATCATCACATAGAATAAATATGACTGGAAACTCACCGCCATGACGTTGTGCGAACGGTAAACCAGGTGTAAGCTGCCATAGTGATCGCAGTAATTGCTGCAAAGTCCCAGCCAAATTTGTATGTCTTGAAACAGTGGGTTCATATCGTCGGGTTTCGGTTGGGAAGCAAGAGACTCACCAGGATACCACAAACCATCGTTATTTCCAACGCCGTAGGTACGATACGGAATATTATGGCCTGGAGAAGAAACGTAATTCCTCTGCATCCCTTTAGAATCTTCAGAGGAAGAAGATAACAAAAGATGACGTACTTCGTACCCCGGTCAATCGCGCGTGTCAAGCCACCCGTCTGCCGAGAGAGGTGGAAGCGGAGATCCAGGTTGAGCAGATGCTCAAATGTTTCCCTTGCGACCTTGCGTATCGCCCGTTGGCCGATACCCGCAAACACCGCGTTCAACAATTCGCCGAAAACCGTAGCGCCAATCCTAGCTGCTCCATCTATGATTCAAGACGATTTCAGACCTAAATCAGCACTCAGAAGATGGACTAGTTACATCCAAGAATCAAGCTTCCTGCGACCACCCAGACTGTGGAAGGCTCGGCAATGTCGAGGTTAAGCGTGTCGATCACATTTTTGAAAATTAAGGGAACTTGGACGTTGAGGACCTATCGGATGGCGACACGGTTGAGGTTCCATCCGAATAATGAAGTGGTGTCACGTACCTTGCCACCAACGAGTAGGGCGAACCCTAGTATCACCGTCCCCCGCGTCTTCCAGTCATCTTTTGGCCACACATTCACCAGGAGCCGTTTGATGATACCCCAATCGCTCTTCCTCTGTTCGGTCGCAGTCGGATCATCCGACTTGTCTGAAACCTTTTTCCCTGCCGTATCCAGTGAAGAAGATCTGGAATCGGACTGAGTTGGTTCCGGCTTCGGTGCCAGGTGTTGGAATGCCCGACGCGACGAAGTGAAAAAATTATCGAGCTCCGACTTTCGGCGGACGTAAGAAGCTACGTTCAGGTCTTGTCTTGACGACGATCTCAGTATGTGTATGCCACGAATGCCCTGCCGCGAACACAATGCAACTGGGGTCCCAAGGCCACGAAGTAGGCGAGTTCCACATGAGGCTCGGCTGGCACCACCTGCAAGGCCGAGCATTTACTGGTTCACGAAGCCAGCGCAGCTGGTATTCTGGTCCTAATCCGTGGTTGTGAAGAGACGCTGAGCACACTGGAAGGTTCAACTTGCACTGGGGAAGAAATATGGGTTCGTGGAGGCAAATATTTCGGATATATGAGGGCACATGACGTGCTTTTTAGTAAATCTTATCTGATTATCATCAACTTCAAGGCGGCCCAACAAAGGGCCAACGCGTTCGAGAATCAACACCAGTTCTGCTCCATCAACCACAACAAGCCTCACCCGATACATATGCCTCTCCGCTCATACAGACGGTCTCTTACCACCTGTGCCCACAGGATATACTTATAAGATAGTTTGACTTACCAAAGCCATAAAGAGCGCATCATGAACATGTTCAAGTATTCGCGTTTGGTGTTCACACTTCAGTCTGCGTTACAACTCGGTTAAGCCCACATTTATCCGCTAGCTTCTAGGATTCTGCCGCTTATCAGGGTGTAAGCATCCCTGTCGTCTTTGCTACCTACGTTGAGGTGAGCCTTTCGAGTTCTATCGACTCCTGATGATCGAGTAACATCGAGTCAAATCTGAACGTCTGATATACCGATTTAGATCCCACCTCCCAAGATCGCGATATTCGCGACCCCCTGTTAGTGCCAGCCATTCCAGCAATTTACAGCAGCATTCTGCTGTCAAACTTTACGTCGAGTTCCTAGCCCCTCTTTTTCATCATGCTGCGCACGCCATCCTTGAAGTCCATATTCCCTTCTAGTCCGGTGGTAGTCAGACCTTAAACGAGCACCATACGACGAATATAAAGACCTGCAATGGCCTTGAATCGATTCCAAGGTCTCCCTTCTCAGAATCGCTCGTCTACCATCTCTGTGCCACCAATGCTTGCATTGAAGAAGTTTTTCACTTCTATTTTTCTTGCTACTGCGTATGTGTCGACTACTTCAGCTTTCGCGGTCCCCTCAGAGTCGAAACATGCTACTCATCGCACAAGACATGTTGGTCGCGGATTGAAGATGGAAACCTTCCACCCGGCCTCTTCGTACCAAGTGAATCCTTAACTTTACGCACACAGTTTCCCGTACTAACTCTTTTTAGACCTTCGGCGGAGGGATGGATCATCCCTTATCGAAGCATGCCGACACCGATCTCGAAGGCGCCACTGTGTCCTTCGTAGCATCGCACCTCAAGATTGACTTTGGAACCATCAAGTTCCGCACTGGGTACTCAGGGGAGACCTCGAAGCACGCCTACGTCAGCCAAGTTCATGTGTGTGGATCTACTTATCACAATGATCAATTCCAGCTAATATGTGTGACGAGACAGGATGGCATTCCGTTTGCTAACGCAGTTGCCAATATCGCCTACAACCATGACAACAAGGTACAAATTTTCTCGCCCGACGAAGTCTATCTAATTATCCGAATGTACCCAGATCGTCGCGTTCGGGTCCTCGTTTGTCAAGCCAAGTTGATCTTCTCATAACTCAGTCCCTATCACGTTTCTGACCATTTCGGTTTCAAGAGAGCATTGCTCCCTCAAAGCCCTCCGTGTCACTGAAGGCAGCTATTGCAACGGCTGAGGGACTTCTCGATGGCAAGTTTAATAACCACCCCGCGACACTCGAGTATCTTGTCAAGGAGGATGGTTCTGTTGCTCTGACCCATGTCGCTCAGATTCAGAATGAAAACACTGGAAGTTGGTATCAGGCATTCGTCGATGCCCAGTCTGGAGAGCTCATTTCAATCGTCGACTTTGTCGCTGAGGTCCAAGTAAGCTGCTTGGAGCATCAAACCCCTCCTGACCCCGTGCTGATAATGTGCATTTGTAGTACCTCGTTCTGCCTATCACCAAAGAAAACCCGACGCAAGGCTTCGAGATTCTTGATAACCCCCAGGACGACCTCGGGTCCCCCGGGGGCTGGCATGACTATCCGCCTCTCGGGAACAAACTGTGATCGAGCATACATTTCCTCTCTATAACATCCACTTGACGATACGATGTCTGGTCATCTTAGATACACAGCGTAAGTATACTAAAAATTATCCGAAACGCGGCCT